AAAATGACAGAGCACAGGGCACTCAGACTGAAAAATATCTGAAAGGAGGCCACTTTCCACCCAGATCCAAACTGCCAGAAAGCAGTCCACAAAGAACATTAAAGATGAATGCAACTTGCATCAGAAGTAGGACTTAACAGTGCACAAGCTCACAGCACTTCTCACAATGCGCCAGGACCCTGCATCAGATAAAGGATGTAGTGCTACCGCAGTTTTTTCTTTCAAGTAAACAGTTTAAAATGTGTGCTGTTGAAGGCAACCCAGCTTCCTCTGTGCTCATATCATTTTACAGAAGTCCTGCCACCCTTCATTCCCTTATCCAGCTAAGTGCTCAGCAATAATGGACAAACAAAATCTAAAGTAGCATTACCACTACCCTAGGGATAACACTGAATACGAGTTATGCAGGATGATCTGATAATAGCTGGCTTCAAGAGCTGGGGGGAGGGGGGAAACCTTGTATAGGGGATATCTTAGAAACTTAGAGTTTAAATCCTATGTGTAACGTGACACACATTTTGGGAACTGCTCTTTCGGCTTTCAGATAAAAAAGGTGACATAAATAGGTTCTCCTGATATATGAAGTACATATAAATATTCCTCTAAAAAATAGCTGTGCATCACACACAATGGTGAAGAGAAACAATCTTGTTTTACCAAAAGAAGTGTTTCACCCCTCGTTATCAGAGCAGCCTACATCACTAGAAAAAAAAATCAATTAATTACTAATTTCACTGACTATGGTCGTCATTATTCTGAGGTCTTGAAATGCAGGCACAGGACAACCAAGCATGACTCTACTCTATAGGCTGGCCCAAGTAAAGGACGTAAAGCTGCGTCCAAAGATCCTTGAAGAAATGACTATGAATTCCAAAGAAAGAAGTGAGAGAGACAGATACTTGGAGGAAATATTTCTAGTTGAAATAGAGTATTTCAAGAACAAAGAGAGATACATTATCTCAAAGTACAGATTTTCACCTTGTTGACCAAGTGTTTTAAAAGCCAGTTGAATTCCTGAGGTCTTCAAAAATACACCTGACTTTAAAATGAAAAATTTGTAAGAAAAAAAAAAGGAAACTGTAACTTGATAGAAAACCTGGTACTATAAAATTAGAATTGTTTTTTTTTAAAGTTAAAATATTAAATCAGAATTAAAAGAAGCCTGTCCATTAGTGACTAATGAGCATATACTATCATCCTCTTTTCCCTCAGAATAAGATATTTTCTTACTTTTATAACATCTGAACTGTTGGTAGTTTAATATCCACTCGTTTTGTTTAAAAAAATATTGCTTCAAGCCAGTATTCCAATCTTTTATTTCCTGTTAAGTATATAGCTAAGATGACACAGAGCTCCAATATTTAAGAATAAATTGTAACTTAAAAAAATTTTTTAAATAATGCCAGTCAAAATGCTTTACTAAAGAATAAAAATATGAGAGGATGTCAAGTCTTGGGGATCTATGGACAGATGATGGGATACAGTCTGGGCATGAATGTCCAGCCAGTTTGAGAAAGACAGGGCATTCATTCTGGAACAGCAATTGTGTGACTTCAATGCCTTAAAACATAGCAAACTATTATTAGAATTACAGGCGACTAGTTTGGTATGGCTCTTTTTTTGGGTATGGTGGAAATTTTTTTTCATGTCCCCACCTCTATGCCCAATGGTACAAGATTCTACATTTTGAAAGGTGGAGGTCATCGGATTATATATTGTTTTGACTATCTTCCTGAAAGGGAACTAACATGCTGCTATGTTTAGAAATCCAGTATTTTCCTGCAGAGAGCAAGGCAACAAGTTCTCATCCACAACTGTCACATGGCTTTGTACCATGTCAGAGTCAAGCTGTGTTACAGAAGATACCCAGCCACAGAAATATTCCTAGGCTGTCAGCCATGAGGAGTCAAAGACATTTGCCATTTAAATCCTTTTTCAGTTGGCTGGCCCTGAAAGACACGCAGGTGCTACAAACCTCTGACAGTCTGCCCCTTCGTTGTAGGTTGTAGTTATTAGACTTCAAAGGTCAACAGTTGGGGCTGACCTGGTGAAACACTACGGGTGACCTGAGTTGGGTTTGGATTTCGGTAAGATGTGGGCCTGAGGTGTGGATAAAGCAGCAGAGGCTAAGCTGGGGGCAGATGAGGTTAGAATTTAAAAGTCTGCCTGGTTTCACCAGAGCAGAAAAATTGGTTTACTTTGTTACTAATCAAAAGCAAGGGAGACTTCTCTGAAATTTGTTTGGGGGCTTGGAATCTAACATTCTGTTTCTAGATGTAAGCATTTCTCCTAGCCTTAAATTAGATGTGTCGTGTTTTGTACGGAAATGAAACTAAATGGAATCTTTCATGGTTTAAATTTCTTTTCTCAAATAGGGATAAGCTGATGTTTTTATTGCTAAACATTTGAGAACTTAAAAGTTGAAAGATGTAACTATTTTTATATCATACTTTGGTGCATGAAATGCTTTTATATACAAACTTTCCCAAATTTACTTTCCAGCTTACAGTTCATGGTTTAGTTTTGATCCAAGAAAACCAGATGCCTTCGTGAGGACAACTTCCTCATTTGAAGGCCATGAAAATCACAAATTTTCTTTCTTTTTCAAATTAAATGGAGACGAAACAGAGGGATAGTTTGAGGAAGGGGTGGTGTGAGAATCTTGGAAAAGGAATAATTTACTCAATGATCATTCCTATTCTTGGCTATTATATGATGTGCAGTTGGGTTTATAGTACAAATTCTGAGTAGGAACAATCTGAGATTCTTAAATCCTTCCTAAAGAAGGGTTTGCTAAGTATATATACCATCTAATTATATGTAAGAATTTGGTTACATTTTTTAAAAAAATGTTTGCTATTTAACTGTAAGATTCAATCGAGATTAAAGAAAATACAATTACTGTGACTCTAAGTACACTTTACATATCATTGATCAGAGCCTCAAAAGGAAAATGCTTTTTACCTTAGTTGAAGGGATAGAAAAAAAAAAAAAAAGGACTTCTCTTTTAGCTAAGGAGGTAGGCACTTGTAACCCATGTAACCTTTAAATCTAAATGCTTTATGTGTACAGTTTTGGTAAGCTGTAGATTTTATCTTTTATGAGTAAAAATATGTAAACTATAACAATAAGAAAAGCTGGTGATTCTGGGAAACTGGATGCATAAGATGTTATATAACCAACTGGTTTCCAACCTTTAAATCAGACACTAGTCAAGGAAATAATAATAAGCTTCGCCAATGGGAAAAACATCCAGCCAGATTTCTCCCAGCTGTGTTTCTCTCCTCTGTGGCCTTCAGTAACTTCAGTGGAAGTTTAGTGTGTTTAGGGAGAAAGATGGCCAGAAGAATCAAAATTATTAAACCAAAAAGGTCAATCTTCAAATTAAGTCTTGGACCAGGCTCACTGCAAGAATAAGGTTAATCCTTTCCAGTGTCCCAGCACGATAAGCAATATGGCTGCTCAGCCACAACTCAAATGGGGCTGATATCACGAGTTATCCTGCCAAAGGGGTGAGTGAAGGAAAAACAGTTGCTGGCTTTGAAATCTACAAATCAAGCTATTAGTGTTTCCTTAGCATTCCTTTTGATTTCCAGCTTGAGCTTACGGTGACTGCAAGAGATAGGAAAAATCCTCGGAGAAGACAGGTCCTTGGATTTAATTCCATATAAACAGAGGGCCAAGGAATTTTACAGAATCGTTGCTCACAAAAAGTTGACTTTGCCTTTGAAGTTCTTGTGTGTTCCATATTTAAAGTCAGACACCTTCATTCATCCAACAGTAGCACAGGGCCTTCAATAATATGATATAATGGCTTTATTTTTTTCGGATTAAAAAAGGTCTTTCATAAGATCCTTCTCCATTCTGTTATAAAATCATCAGCTAATATGTTTTCAAGGATTTGCCAGGTAAATAATCTGTGTTACCTTCAACTTTCAGGTCTAACTGGCCTGATGTAATTTTTTTTTTTTTTAATGGCCACAGATGTGTGAATAGTGGTTTAAATCAGTTCCTACTAAAAAGAATGGACTGCATGGAGTTCCTACTGATGCATTAAGGGGAAAGCTGTTTAACTTTTATCCGTAGGATTTAAATGAAACATGTAAATATCCTCCCTTATTTTCTCCTCAGTTAGTCATTTAGATCCAAGGAGATAAAATATTATAGTGTTAGTCAAAACATCAATGAAAATACTGACATAATTTTGCAATAACCTCAATATTACTATAGCATGCTATGGGTTCTGAGAAGCATCAGGACTGTGAACCATTCCTTCAGAAAGGGCTACCCCACTGAACCTCCTAGTGCTCATTAGCACATTAACGGCTTCAAGTCCTGAGGTTAGACAAAACCAACCCAAACCTGTTTAATGTTGTCTAATGCAGAATTTCTCCAGCTAGCCTGAACACATCACTCCTTTTTTAATGGAATTCCTAATGTCAAACAAACTTTGGGTCACGCACAGCTGCTATTGTGTCTCCTTTGTCCTCCTTAGCACAATGACTGGCCCATAGTAGGAACTCAGTAAAATATTTCTGTAATGGATAAATGATGAAATGCATGGTTGTACTCTCAGAGGTTATGTAGATTTTGTAATTTTTTTTTAAAGTTTTTTTTTTTATTTATGATAGTCAGAGAGAGAGAGAGAGAGAGAGAGAGAGAGAGAGAGGCAGAGACACAGGCAGAGGGAGAATCAGGCTCCATGCACCGGGAGCCCGACGTGGGATTCGATCCCGGGTCTCCAGGATCGCGCCCTGGGCCAAAGGCAGGCGCCAAACCGCTGCGCCACCCAGGGATCCCCTAGATTTTGTAATTTTTTGAGATAAAAGATCTGTGTTCTGTAGTAACAACCCCAATCAAGTTCATAGACAAAGAGTGCCATTTCTTCTGGATATTCAAATAAAAAGTAAATTACCAAAACATATGGTAGTGGAAAGAGAAGCATCCTCACAAAATATGAGAAATCTAACAAGCAAGTATACTTTAACAAACACAACATGTAGTTAGGAAGGTATTGCTTTATTGTTCTTGTCCCTCTGAAGAATATTCCAACATGGCCCAGTGGGATTCAGTTCCTGGATGTTTTACTATTAGCATTTAATAGAAATCTTTCTCCATTGGTAGATTAGCATGTAAAGAGCAGAATTTCTTAAAAACACTTTGATATTGAGAAAGGCTGAGATGCTGAAAGTATGTAGTGCCAGATCATACGAGAACTCTTGCAGAGCAGATCTTATAACACATGAGTTTGGTAACTGTGCATTTGGTCAGAGTAAACCCAAAGACAGTCCAGAATATGACTGAAGTGATTGCAGTGAGATACTTGGCCACAGAAAGATAAATAAATAAATTGCGCTATGAATTCTTTACAGTGTTCTACAATTCAGGTATCACTTGTAAATTCTTTATTGCTATTAAAAATGGATGATTGGAAATAAAATTTTAAGATACTGCATGTAGTAACAGACTGCTGAGATGATGGATGTAACAATCCTGAGCATTTATAGAGTGGACTGCCTAATATTATATATGCATAACTCCATGACATGTTATAACATGTGAAAATTAGGGAGAAAGCATTTTTAAAAAATCAATTGTATATAAACACTCTGAATCTAAAGTGCTGGCAACTTTGGCCTCAAGGAGAACTCATTTCTCTCCTTCTTAGCCAGTCATTTGTAAAAGATCCCAATTATAAATATAAATTATGGTTGGAAAAATGTGACTGATCACACCTGAAAAAGGAAAATGCAAAGTGAAAAGTATCTCTCTTTCTCTGCTGGTATAAATTGTCAATAAGTTAGCTGTGTGTCATTCATGAGTTGATCTTACTTGGATTGATTTAACTTCTATCATTCCCAAAGACCAATATATTGTTATGTCAGTCAGTGTTTGGCAATGCTGAAGAGCAGAAGTTGCCGATTCGTCTGCTAGATAATCTGGGCCAAACTGCAACAAGGACAGATACTCTGTTACTTGTAAAACACTCATGTGAAACAATGGATTACATTTTGCTTTTTTCATTTTCATATTCCTCCTTTTTAGACTGTGTACTCGTTCCATCCATTGGTAAACCTGTGGCATCTTCCTTGATTGAAGGTGAATCTGGAGCAACTGTTCTTTTGGCAAATGCTGACAAGGTGAGAGAAAAGACAAAAATAAACCTAGATGAATAGAATTCTTGGACTCAAAATTGTAAGTAATCACAGTGTCTGATCCAGTTTTCTATAAACTTTATATGAAATGACAGACCTTCAGTATAGGAATAAACATACTAAGTTTACTATTTTTTGGAAAACATCTATTCACAGGATCTAATTTGGGAGGGATCTGAAGAGTATCTGAGAGTGGAAGATGCGTGTTTGGTCAATACACAATGATACAAAGCACATGGACAATTTTGGAGGGAGAAATCTTCAGGGCCTTCTTTTTACAGAATCTTCTTCATTACACAGACTAGATCTGGAATCTAGGTTTACTGTTTTTCTACAACCGCCTACCTCTCAACTGTGCTCCAGATGGGCACGTCCAACTACTTCCATGAAATCCGCCTGCCTTATTTCTAATCTCTGATGCTTGCCCATTCCTTACTTTTTCCATCTTAGAAAGTGACACACTTATCTCCTTCAGCCTGGGTTTCTCAAACTTTGGTTTCCTCCTTCCTTTGTCCTATCTGCTCCACCCATCCCACTTGAGAGTCAATTCTGAAGACTTTACTCACCCCAGGCCTCCGGCTCCACACCATCTCCATTCTATCAACTCAGCCTAAACCATCATGTTCTCTCTTCCCATTTTCACTGTGTCGCATTCTCCACACCACAACCAGAATTATCTTTCTAAGAGGTAGATCCAATTATGTCACTCACTCTCCTACATAAGCCCTCCCCCCATGCCCCAGTGCCCCCCAGGAAACCCAGAATAAAATTCAAACATCTGACTGGCTGAAAAGGCTCCCTTGGAACTTCACCTCTCTCCCTTTCTCTCCTCCTCTCTCTCTCCTTTTATCCTCGCCTCCCCCCTCCCTCAGAGCTCCATCTTTCTAGAAGGCCATACCTGTTCTTCTCCGCAACCTTTGTACTTCCTACTCCCTCTATCAGGGAAACTATTCCCAACCAGTTTTAACTCTGCTGATTCTTGCCATCCAGGCTTCAGCTCAGTTGTAACCTCCTCAGAAAGGAATCATCTCCTGATCACTAATCTAAAGCAGTCTGTTCCAGGTATTTTGTCATTTTACCTTCATAGCACCAATCATCATTTAAAATCATCTGTTTACTTGCTTAATGCCTGTTTCTTCTCTGGGATAAGGTGACATCTTCCATCTGGTTCACTTGCTATGCTCCTTTCTCCCACCTGGGTCTAACAGAGAGCCTCCTGTATAACCTCTTAGTAAATATTGTTTGAAGAAGTGAATATATTTATGGGATTCTTAAGAGATAGTCAACTGGGGACTTTCTAGCTGCCTTCTCGAAAGTATCTACAGAGTACCTTGCAAATCGAAATAATCAGAACTCAGTTATTTAAAAATTTCTGACATGTAACTGGTCAGTGAAAAGACTATCATGCACACAAAAATCACTATCACATGAAATGAGCCTATAAAATGTTGTGCTTCTATGAAATAAATATATCCCTAAGGGATGAGAAACAATTTTTTTTTACCTTTATCAGTATCCCTACATTTTGACTGCCACAAATCTTTGGCATTTTATTCTGTGAGTCTGAGCAGACTACATATGAAGCAGTTCAGTGAGTCAGTGGATCCTGACATACAACATAGAAAAAAGCGTGTTGTTCTTGCTGTGGATAAATTATTTTTCACAGGAGGGACTTAAACCTTCACAAAAGGCACCTCAAAACACAAACAGAATAGTAACTTTTCTTTCCATAGCAGTGTAAACTGATGTCAGAAAGCAAAAGAAAGTTCCTTTTAGTAATTTTCATTGATTTACTTTTTTTTTTTTAAGATTTTATTTATTTATTCATGAGAGAGAGAGAAAGAGAGACAGAGACACAGGCAGAAGGAGAAGCAGGCTCCTTGCAGGGAGCCCAACGTGGGACTCGATCCTGGGTCTCCAGGATCAGGCCCTGGGCTGAAGGCAGCCCTAAACTGCTGAGCTACCAGGGCTGCTCAATTTACTTTTTTAATAATATCAAGTTAAATTAATATGTATGCTTCACATTCCAATCCTACAATAATCTGAAGAGAACACTTCCCCCCACCCCTTGAAAAATCACAGTCCTTTCTTTTTGGTTTTATTTTAATAAACATTATTGACAACAGTTTTAGAATTACAGAAAATTTGAAATCTGCATTCATTTCTAAAATTCAGTTTAGAGATACCAACTCCATAAACATTAGGGATTTTAATCTCAAAGGATTTGAGATTTCAAGAAGTCATGAGATTACTACAGCCCTCCCTCAAATCCAGTCTGTTTCTGGCCCCAAGGGTGAGGGCCCTGTCTTGGGAGTTGTGTTCCTTTAGCCTAAAAGGAGCTATACATGGAGACTAGTGGTCAGTCACTACTTATAAAAAGTAAAAATGACAGTTTCAAAAGCTGGCATTATAAGACTCTCTTTCTAAGCCCCCACTGTCTAGAGGCTGAAGGTAATGGAATCCAAGCCTTCTAAAAGAGTGTCCTGAATCACGGCCATCACTTCTAGCCAGCCAGGATAAATTTGGTAGTAATCATGGCTCTAAATAATGGATTTCTGTGTTCCTATTTCCAATGGTAATATAAACTTACAATTTATACATTTCTTCCCTTCTTCCTGGCAGAAGGAATCTACCTTTTCTTGAATTGACCTGAACTACACAAAGCTGACATAAATTACTACTTAAAACAAACTTTCATTAATGCTGGATCATTTCAGAGACCACAAATTATGCAGTATTTTCCCATTTCCTTTGTTTTTTCCATGGTCAGTGATTCTACGCTTTAGTTTGGTCACAGTTTGACAGGGCACCTAAGTCAGCAGAATGAATGCCTTAGCATCTACAGCACAGACAAAAGGGCCAGTACAAATCCCAACTTGAGTGAGAAGAAGCCTGTTCTGTGGGCTCATAAACTCATGTCTGCCTCAGCACCTATAGTTATGTACTCTTCATGTCTCTGTACAGGTCTAAACTGCTCTAAACTCCAACTCCCAGCTTTCATGTCCATTGAGAAGGCAACAAGAAAATCGAACACTTGCTAGTCAGACATAAAAGCTGGGGTGTTCTTAGCAGCATTTTATTTTTATAAGATGCCTTTTCAGCCAAAGTGTACATACACCTATCAAATAGTACCAAGGAGATCTATAGAAAGGTAGCAGCTTCTACCCTATCCCTCCCAGTACCCCAATTCTGCACCCCAGAGTTAATCACAATCAACCCTTTTAGCCTTCTTTTCTGTATTTATTTCAATTTTTGTAAGAAAAAGAAGCTGATATTGCTATTTTCTGACTTATCATTTTTAGACGTATTCACACCCATCCACTTCCCCGCACTTCATCCTCCTTATATAGTTACATTTCAACTTCTAGTTGTGTCAATAATGAGTATTTATAATATTATGTAAATATGACTCACACAAACCTAAGAAGCATACTATGACAACGCTTCTTTTCTTGCCCATTTTTCCCCTAAAGTTATTAAATGACTGGTGTTTTTATTTTGTTTTTTTTTTTTGTTTGCTCTTTCTCTGTGACTATCCTTAATGATTTCTAATGACTCAGTGAGATCTGCCATATTCTAAGTGCTCAACTGAGTCAAATAACCTAACATCTTTATTTTCTAAAGATTTTCCTTTCTTCTATCAATTTGAGAGAACTAAATATGAGTGTTCAGATTAAAGTGTTCACTCATCAAATAGCTGTTTGAAAAGCAAATAAAGTAAGATCCACAGGGAGGCAAATCATCACAAAACCCACTGGGGCTAAAGAGAAGATCCTCAAAGGTCCCAGGGCTGGGGGTAGGGGTAGTAGCGGTGGTGGAGAAGATTACTTCAAGGGAGTGGAGGTCAAAACAAAAAGACATAAACTTTTTTAATATTAGATTTTGGAAGAGAATAGTGCAATGACTTCAGAAGGACAGTTACTTTCAACCTAGATTTTTATAGTCAGCTGAAGTCTCATCCAGTATGAGTAGTGGAAGAAATCTATTTGCAGAAATGCAAAGACTGGAAGCATTTACCTCTCTTTCTTTGGTGGGCTTACACAGAAGAAAGAACTAAGACAAACAAAGGAAGGCATGTGTTCTGAGAAACTTGGGCATCAACATGGCGGGGGGTGAAGAAAAATCTCAGGATGACAGCCATACAACAGGTATGGGCTGGCTTAGCCTTTCTGACCTGCCGACTCCTGGCCTTTGATTTGTTCTTTCACTAATCAAGTACTGTTTCTCTTGAATGGATTTCCTAAGTATCTTTTCTCTCCTATTGCCCCATTCTTTTTCTTCTATTTTCTTTGTGGTTTTCTCAACTTTGTCTCCCACCTTTCTAGTTTTTCATATTTTAAATTTCTGAGACCTTTTATATTGTGTTCCTTTCTCATAGCATCTTGCTCTTATTTTTAATGGATGTAATATTTTCTCTTCAATTTCTGAGGACATTAATGATATTTTATTTTATTTTATTTTAATTTTTAAAAATTTATTTACGATAGTCACACAGAGAGAGAGCTAGAGAGAGAGAGGCAGAGACACAGGCAGAGGGAGAAACAGGCTCCATGCACCAGGAGCCCGACATGGGATTTGATCCCGGGTCTCCAGGATCGCGCCCTGGGCCAAAGGCAGGCGCCAAACCTCTGCGCCACCCAGGGATCCCCATTAATGATATTTTAAAAAGACATATTCTATTCCCCATATGATCAATTTACTGTAGGTTCATTTTTCTCTGTTGGTTTTGACATTTCTCCTTCTTAATTTTGGAGGTTTAAAAGGAGGTTAAAGAAACATGACAGGATAATTTCTGTAACTAAGCTGGAATTGTTTGTGCTACAAAAATGGAGACATATTCAGGGTGATCCTGATCCACTTTTAAAATACCAAATTATGAAAAAACATATAGAAAGTTCAAGGTTCATCAGACAAGTAAATAAAAATAGCTCTGATCTCTAGAAATAAGTTTTAATTCAATCACTTAAAATGATTAATAATAAGGTACCTATGATTAAATTTTTAAAAGTATCCTTGAAAGCAGGGGTTAGTTATGGAGGAAAATCATAAGTTAGACTTGTCAAAAAGAGGAATAGTAAAAAATAAGCTATGGATTAATAAATTAAATAATTTAACAATAAGTTAATGAAGAGGTTTCATTTTTAAGCTGAATCTTTCAGTTAGATCTTACAATATAGACTATACTAAGTATTTTCATATCCAGGTTATGTTCTCAATGATATTGTTTCCTATTCTTATTTAACTTTGTTTCCTTTTGAGCAAGTATTTATAAAGAAACTATGAGGAATAGATCTTAGAGAAATGACCACAGCTGGTCATGAAATGCTACTGAGTGGAAAGCTGGATATAGTTTCTTTCACTACCTGTCATAATAATAATAAAAATTCTAAAAATCTTGATGTTTTCCCTCTAATGTCTCCTAACCACTATTTCCTAGGTGCCTTTTTTGAGAGCCTTATGAAAGTCATAATGGGAGAATGAAACAGCAGTAGAACCATGACCTCTGTGCTCATATCATGGTACTGTTTACCTCCAGGTCCCTGAATGTCTTAATGGGTGGGATACTATGAGGTTTCATGGTGTTTTGTCCCTACTCCCCACCTACATGTTACATATGACCAACAGACCTGAGTAAGATTTTCCATTTCTTCATATGAAACACAAAACTTTTGTGTATGCATGTATCAGATTTTGAGGTACCATAATCAGCTTGAGATACAATCTACATTGAAGGGCAGCTGCCAGATTAGAATAGCAAGGGTTTTATGCAGAAATATAAAATCACTTGGCAAAATGGTTAGGACAGGAAAGAGAAAATGCTCAGCCTTTGGAATAAAATAATCATGATATAATGAAAACCAAACCATTTATCTGAAACTGATAAATATTTATTCAATGAATCCATGAATATAAATCAGCAAAAATGAGAGTTATCACTTTTGGATCTGACCTATTTCTTTGTGGCTTATTTTGGTATTTTATTTTATAGCAACCTACATTTTTTAAATGACAGAATTGTCAGATTTAATACACAAACTCTATGCCCATGGTAAATTGAGCATCTAAATGATTATTTAAATAAGAAATTATTAAATAACATTTGAGATCCAATGGTTTGGATAAAAGTGGACTTAAAAATTCATATACTCATTCTATTAATTGAGAATTTACTATATGTTCTAAGTAGGACATTGAGGAAACACTAGTGAACAAAACAGACACTGCTTTCATCATGGAATTCATTCTTTGGTGAAGAGAATAATCATTAAAGAAAAAGTCACTCAAATAAAAAATAACTCCATCGTTATTCTAAGAAGATATTTAAAGGAAAAATGCATGACGGGCATTCATAACGGACACCATATTTAAAACTGTAGGTTCCAAAGGCTTCTTTAAGGATACTACATACAAGTTGAGACTTGAAGAATAAGCATTGCAGGAAAGAAGAGAGGTAAATGGAGGGGGATGGTGTATCACTTGGTCAAAAAATTCATACCTTGTTCACACTGATAACATTTTATCAACATTTAAAGTATATTCACAGAATGAAATCTAGCTAATAACAGTATTAGTATCCTTATTCTTTGCATAAGATGATCTATACTGCCGAACAGTTCTATGAAAATATTTTCTACTTTTTGATGATTTAACTTTTATCATATCATCATCTAACTGACTTTACCCACTCATCCACAGTTACCAGGAACTTCTGTACAAAACATTTGCTTAATTAAGATGATTACCTTGGGTGATTCATTTTAAGTTTTTCTGAGCAGTGTAAGGTCTAAAAAGGGATTCCATACACCTTTTAGTAAATCGGGTAATAGAAATGTATCTGGGGGGTGCTATAATTATGATTCATAATAACAATTTCTTCAAATTCCTAACATGAGTATTACTATTATGTACTTGCCTTACATTTTAATCTTTCCATGAGTTGTATTTCCTTAAATCCAATTTAAAGACTGGTATAGGGCTTCATTACTTACAATTCAAGTGTGAAAATCGTGGACTAGACAGGAAGTGACTGTGATCATGCCAAGAGGATGAGTGCTCGAAACCATGAGTATGGGAACTTTCAGTAAAGAGTCTGTCATCCTAAAACAAAGAACACAGCACTTTAGTTCACTGATTACAAAACGTAAGGATCAGGATTCATTTAAATGTGCTGAAAATGAAATAGGCTATGTTATATAGCAATTTAATTGTAAAAAAAAAAAACATGTGCATGCTAAAGAAAAATATTTTAAAAAAAAGGGGAGAGTGAGAAGGAAATCACCCGTGGTCATGACAGTATGACATATTTCTTTCTAGTCTTTTTTTCTTATGGATAGGTTTTACAAATTTTGTTATAAAACTGTGTTCTTCACTTATTTACACTAATACTCTGAACACTTTTGAAGTCACTATATTATCTTAACCTTTAGCTTATGTGTTACTCATATACTATCTAGTGGATAAACTATGATTCCTTCAACTATTACTTTATTGGGCATTTAGGTGGTTTCCAATGCTTTACTCCTATAAATAACACTGTGAAAATATCTCTAAATACATACCCTTTTCTATATTTAGGACTATTCCTTATGACAAATTCTTAGGTGGAAATACTGGGTCAAAAAAAAAACCAATTTGATGTTTTTAAATACACTTAGCTACACTGCATTCCATAACGATTATACCAATCCTCTTACTCATTCAACAAATATTTAATACATAAACAAAAATGAATACAGAAAAAGGCCCTCTCCTCATGGACTGTATGAATGAATGTGTTCTTATACCCAAATCTCAGTTGAAAATGGGGAATTAATTTTAACTACAAATAATTTATTAATTAGATTAAAACAAATGCTTTAATATATTTTTTTGTAATAAACAGTGAAATTGTTTTTTTTTTCTCTTGGACATGTCCTAATTACTTACAGTACCCTTTATTTTTTCTTTTTCTCCCCCAGTTATTTATTCATGCAACAATAATTTATTGGGCACTTAGTGTGTGCTGGTCAAAGAGCAAACAAAACATTGAGGTATACAGTTATGAAACTTTCAGGTTTGCAGAAGAGAAAGGCACCAAATAACTAACTCTGCAAAATATAATAAAGTGAAAAATTATGATGAGTGCTATAAGAAGAACAGGAAATAATTAAATTTAGAATCAATGTCAAGAGAAGTCCCCTCTGGGATGTGATATTTAAAGTGATATTTGAATGCTGAGTGTGAATAGGCCGGCAAAAGCTTACCGGGTGGAGGATGAGAAAGAGGGAGCCAAGGAGGAGTAGGAGATGGTGGTCGGTGGACTTGTGTGAACGTGCTGAGGTGAGGATTTGGTGTCTGAAGAACTGAAGGAAGGCCCCTTAGCTTTGGCCGCTATACTGGGGGGAAAGTGGTTACAGTGAGATCCAGAAGTGAGATTTGGATTTGGATTTTTTTTTTTAAGTTACAATCAGAAGGCAATCAAAGGTTTTATGGAGATTTCTATTTAAATTTTAAGTAGATTTAGATTTAAATTTCTCAAAGATACTTTTTCCACATACTATGTGGAAAAGAGACTGAAGTGGCACAAGTGTTGAAGGGGGGGGGACCAGTTTAAAAACTGTAATTGAGGGCACTTGGGTGGCTCAGTGCTTGACTGCCCATATTTGGCTCAGGTTGTGATCCTGGGTCCTAGGTCGAGTCTTGCATCAGGCTCCTCACAGGGAGCCTGCTTCTCCCTCTGTCTGTGTCTCTGCCTCTCTCTCTGTGTGTCTCTCATAAATAAATAAATAAATAAATAAATAAATAAATAAATAAATAAATAAAATCTTTAAAAAAAAAAAAGAAGAACTGTAATTGAGGATGACTGAGGAGTCAAGTGAGAGGAGGAGCTTGAGAATGCTATCAGAGTCTAGATAAGACATCTGTAGGTCAGGTGGCCCCCATGGATTCCTCCAAACATGGCCACACAGTATAGGGCCTCGTGCCACAGGACCATTGGATGAATCAGCTGTCATTCTCTGTATCAAGTACCAAGTTTATATTTTATTTTTTGGTCACATATATATGCATGCAAGTATAAAAGAAAGGCCAAAGAGAACAAGTTTATGTATAATGGTAAAAGGCCCATTTATTCTGAGGTAAAAGCATGAACATAATCCTCAGATTGTTCAAGATCATTAACCTTCATGTACCAAAAGGGAGTTTAGGTCTATTTAATATGAAGTCCCTGAGGTTTTTAACCAAGCAATTTATGGTTTTTACTAATTATGGGGATTTCATAAGAAATTAGAAGTCATTCACTGTAGGATCTCTGGAAAGAAAATGATATACTTTGTATCCCCAGTGCATTTCAATAAGTACTTTATACAAGCTGACTAGGAGCAACGAAAGACAGGGACAATAAAGCTAGCTTATCACAGTTCACACATGACATACTTTAGGCCTGGGTGGAGGTGGAAGATACACAAATGAAAAGATTTATGTTCTCACCAGTGCTAGAAATCTACATTTAAGCACGGTGTCTATATGAAGCATGAAAGAGAAAAGCATAATAAATGGCTTCCCACTAACAGATGCTTTTTTTAAAATTTTTATTTATTTATGATAGTCACACACACACACACACACACACAGAGAGAGAGAGAGAGAGAGGCAGAGACATAGGCAGAGGTGAGAAGCAGGCTCCATGCACCGGGAGCCCGACGTGGGATTCGATCCCGGGTCTCCAGGATCGCGCCCTGGGCCAAAGGCAGGCGCCAAACTGCTGCGCCACCCAGGGATCCCCAGATGCTTTGATCATTGTGGGTCAATAAGAAAAAGAAAAAATAAGGGAAGCAAACACAGACTTTTTGCCCACCAACACCTGGACTGAAAAAGACAGTGAGAGTGGAGCTGTAGGTCTAGGTGTCTTGCTCAATGAAACACAAGGCAAAGATGGCCTCAAAATGGGCCTCCCAGAGGAAAGATAAAGCACCCAAAAACATTCAGATCCCATTCATCCTTCCCAAAAGACATGGTTTTAAATTTCTAAAACAAATCAACTGTCATCAAGACATTAAATTGCATGTTTTCTGTTACAGAAAAAGAGTAATTTATATTTTCAATGACAAAGTCAGTTTATTGGCATATGACAATTAAAATATGGCACTGACATATTTCACTCTTAGCAAATTTGGAAAATACAGAAGAAACTAAGAATAATGCAATAAATTTTAAAATAGCCTATTAGCCTAATTTAAGGACATGTTTTCTGATTCTTCTTTATAAATATCTGTGAACGGAGATTACTATTTATTGACAATTTTATTTTCTACTTTTTCATGTAGTATTATATATGGGAGTTTTTTCTACTATCATCATCATCATTATGGTTATTCCACAGTTTATTTGACTAATCTCCCATTGTTGGAAATGTTAAGGCTATTCTCAGTTCTTTTTTTCCTATTATAATTTGATAAACATCTTGGTGTGCAAAGCTTGGCCCACACTTTAAATTTGTCAATATAGATTTCTAGAAGTAGAAATATGAGGTAACACATTTTAAGGGTGCTTTTTAATATACAATTCATCTAAATTGTCAAATTTATTGTCAGTATGCTGATACTCATAACATTTCCTAAATATCCTTTTATTGTCTATGAGAGTTGTAGTAATACCCCTCTTTCGTTCTTAATGTTAGCAATGTGTACGTTCTCTCCTTTTTCCTAGTCAATTTGGGCAGAGTTTTTAAAACTTTACTGATGTTTTCAGAAAACTTGGTTTTGCTTTTATGCCCCTTCCCCATTTTCCTGCTTTTTATTTCATTGATTTTTGCTCTTATCTTTATTATTCTTTTCCTTTTACTTTAGGTTTGTTATTTTTTTAGTTTCAAACTTGGATTATTGATTATCAACTTTTCTTCTTTTATAATGCACACATTTAATAATTTTCTCTCCAAGCACTATCTTAACGGAGTCCTACAAATTCTGATAAATTGTACTTTTATTTTTATACACTTAAAAATATTTTCTAATTTTCCTTTTGAACCCCCAGTGGGTTATTTAGAAATATGTTGTCTATTTTCCATCTAGGAATCTTCCAGATATCTGTTATTGATTTCTAAGCTTCATTCCATTGTGGTTAGATGACATACTTCACATAATTTCAATCATCTTAAATTTATTGAGATTTGTTTTATTTCCCAGAATATAATCTATTTTGGAGAATGTTAAATGTGCACTTGAAAATTATATATAATCAGCTGTTGTTAGGTGGAGTATCCTACAAATGTTGATTAGGTCTAGTTGGCTGATAGTGTTGCTCAAGTTTCCATATCTTTACTGACTTTCTGCCTACTGTTTTATCAATTACTGAGAGAGGGATATTGAAATCTTCAACTATAGTTACAGATTTGTCTATTTTTTCCTTATGATTCTATCAAGTTTTGCTTCATATATTTTGATGCTCTGTTAACTGGTACATACGATTTAGGACTGTTAGTCTTCCCCTTTAAAAATGTTGACTTTTTTTCAAACCACTCACATTCCTTGTTTTCATGTATACAAGTGAGGAAGCTTACCTGTAATACATCTTAAAGTTGCAACAATTTATAGGTCTTCAAAAGACTGTTAGACTCCCTCATATTACCTTGAAATATAACTAATGAAATGAATCCTAAAAGAATACCCCCAAAGAAAAATATCTCACAATCCCTTTGAACAATCAACATACCAGAATGTGGAAAAAACAACCAACCAACCAACCAACCAACCCTCCATTTTCTCCAATTTTATATTGATATTTAATTTGTGGAATTTCTATAACAACTAAGTTTTACAAGGTAACCTTTAGATGAGTGTTTCTAATTCTTACCCATCTTTCAATCAAATACTTAAATATTTAAATGGAAATACTGGTTAAAAAGGAAGATTCTTTGCAATTTTAGGAATCCTAGCTTTTGCTTTTTACCAATTCTTATATCCTTAGCACAAGGACCTATTTTTATTGCTGTCTTAAGTCTCAACAAGCTAGTTAGCCAGAATTCCCTGCAAAAATTCCACTGGGTGAAGGGACTTGCATTTTCTAATATTTTCCCTGGGTTTCTTCCACTTCTCTTTCATAACCCACATTGTAATTGGTTT